GAAAGTAAAAATAACAAATTGAATCACTGTTGAAACTCAGGGTTCTATTCAATCAGATCCGCTTTTGCCGACATCCGCATTGCGGTTGTTTTGGCAGTGTCAGAGGTGGAACTAGGCTACATTATTTCTGTCAAATCCACAAGTGGCTCCTGGCATTAGGCTATACCAAAGATTGTCTATTATATTGACAATATATTAGAGTGACCGCTCTAACAATGGAAATACATGTCCTCAAAGATAGAAGGCAGGCAGGAAGAGGCGAGAGCAGGTGGGATCATTCTAGCCAATGAACAACGGGCCATAGAGATAGATAGAGGACTATTCTTTGTATCTGTGCCATTATAGAATCTGTGACAGCATGGACATTTTTAAAGTAGTCCATTTTCTTCTTCTTCACTGGCTTTGTTCCCAACTCATATGAATCCCCACCCAGTTGACTACTTTAAAATGGTGGAAGCCCTCAATGGCAATGCCCATGCTAATGAGTCCTCTATCCATCTCTATGACAACAGGCACCATTTACATTTACATCATTTAGCAGACGCTCTTATCCAGAGCCACACTTCGATATAAAGTATTTTTTTGCCACGTGTGTCCACTTATATCAGTGCATTTGTAAAAACCTAACCATTATGAAACTTCTATTTGAGCAAATTAGCAATTACATTTTTTGTTGACCAAATTCAACACTCTCTCATTGACCTCCATACAAAGATTCTTCACTTCATGGCCTTATTTTCATGGACAGAGTAAAACCTCTCGCTTCGCCTCTTCCTGTCTGGCTATACCTAAAATATAATTGGCTGCACAGAGTCGCATTAAGAGAAATCCCACAAAGCCTTTTTTACAAATTCTAAAACTGGAATGTGAGACGTAATCTAGAACTCTTATTAGGCTGATAGAAATTCTCATGATTTTGTTTAATGATTTTCAATTTGAGAGTCATCATTTCTGTATAGACAACACTTTCTTGTTCTGAACTTCTAACGCGAGTGGGATGGGTGTGGCTTCGTGACAATGATCAAGAGCAACTGGTCACCGATTTGACAGCTCCAATGCAGTTACACAACGCCAAAACATCAGCTATGTGGGTGTTGGCTATCGCCGGTTAACGCTTGATCTGATTGAATCTAGGCCTCAGTCAAATACGTTTATGGAAACTCTGTACTTAAGATTGGGGTCCCCAGGAGCGCGTTTGGGAAACGCTGCTTTAGGATGACAGTATCACAACTTCAAAGGGAGGAATATAGAATTCTGTTGAATTTGCACCCTTTGTCTCATCTGCTTCCATCTTTGAGAGACTTATGGGGAATATACAATGTTACAGACAGAAAGGTTTCTTCCTTTTCAAAATATCATAAAAAGAAAGAGTGCACAGTTCTACATGCCTATCATACAACGTCTCAAGCAAATAACACAAAACATTTGTTCCATTGTAACTGCTAGTACAGAAGTATACAATGCAGGTACAGTAACATCATATCTATGCAAAGAATAATGATGCGTTTGAGCTGATGTATACAAGAATGAAAAAGCTTATTGTAAAGCAAGATAAGCGAGAGTCTCCATACTGTATTTTCACATAAAAGGCATAGCTACTGCTTTCATTCACCAAGTGTTATTACACTGGCACAATGCACACAAGCTCGTACACAGACACACACACACACTCGTACACACACACACACACAAACACACAATTTATTGAAATACAGATAAGTAATAATAATTTGCAAACAGCCTAAAATGTGTTATCCAGTAACCTAAAATGTTGCAGTGCTAGCTGTTATAGCAACACAATATTATTTAAATATGTACATTTATTGAATTATCAACTAAATCTACTTCATATATTGTATGTCCTTTATTTTACAATAATAGATTTCCTTCAGGTTTTCACCACAGTTTAGTACTGCCTACCTGACCATCCCACACAACCTTGCTGCATTAGCAAACAAGATTAATTGCCAATAAAAAATGCAAATCCACTGCAAATACAAATTGACTGGTAAAGCTGTTGAGGAGAGCAAAGCCAATAGAAAACATATTTTTTAGAAGGTATATTCAAGTTCCAACATGGTAATTAGTACTAGGTTTTAAACGCAGCTAAGCTTTCATGTCAGGGAGTCAAGCGGGTTATCCTCATGGTGTTTACTTTTATAAAATGAATGTCCTCTAGAGTAAAACATTGCTTCTTTCTATACCGTTCCTATTTCACCAGGGTCTCCGTTTACGCACAGGCTCCTACTGTCACGCCCTGGCTCTGGGGACTATGTTATGTTGAGCCAGGGTGTGTAAGTCTATGTTTAATTTTCTATGTTGGTCTGAGTGACTCCCAATCAGAGGCAACGAGTGTCAGCTGGGTGTCTCTGATTGGGAGCCATATTTAACTGTTTGTCTTGCACTTTGTGTTTTGTGGTTTCTTATTCCTTTTGGTTGTGTATCGAAGGACTTCACGTTTCGTTATTTGTTTTGATCGTGTGATCTAGAAAATAAATATCTATATGTTCACCCGCAACGCTGCGCCTTGGTCTCCCTCACTAGACGATCGTGACAGAAGAAACCACCATAACCAGACCAAGCAGCGTGTTCAGGAGCCATCGCTGGCAGATCTCCGTGGCAACCTCGACTGGATCAAGCAGCGGGACGAGGAGAGAGGATGGACGTGGGAGGAGATGATTGCGAGTCTGGCAAGAGGGAGAGAGGCCTGGGCCACGGGGAGGAGAGACCCCCAGGAAATTTTTAGGGGGGGGGCTCACGACGTCGGGCCAGCAGGTGTACGGGTTAGAGCGGTGCAAGGCGTTGGCAGAGAAGGCCGCCAGGTTAGGGGGGCCACTGGGCACAGAGGAGAGGGAAAGTGTGGAGGCACGGCGAGAGGTACTGGGGTGTGTTACCAGTCCGGTCCGGCCCGTTCCTGATCCCTGCGTGGGGCCAGTGGTGTGTGTCCCCAGTACGGTCCGGCCTGTTCCTGCCATTCCCACCAAGTCAGTGGTGCGCGTCGTCAGCCCAGCCCGGCCTGTTCCTGCCATTCCCACCAAGTCAGTGGTGCGCGTCGTCAGCCCGGCCCGGCCTGTTCCTGCCATTCCCACCAAGTCAGTGGTGCGCGTCGTCAGCCCGGCCCGGCCTGTTCCTGCCATTCCCACCAAGTCAGTGGTGCGCGTCGTCAGCCCAGCCCGGTCTATTCCTGCTCCCCGCACCAAACCTACGGTGTGCGTCGACAGCCCAGCCCGGCCCGTTCCTGCTCTCCGCACCAAGTCTGTGGTGCGCGTCGCCAGCCCAGTCCGGCCCATCCAAGCTTCCCGCACCAAGCCAGTGGTGTGCGTCGTCAGTCCGGCACGGCCCGTGCCTGCTCTCCGCACCAAGTCTATGGTGCGTTTCGTCAGCCCTGTCCGGCCCGTTCCTGCTCTCCGCACCAAGTCTTTGGTGCGCGTCGCCAGCCCGGTCCGGCCCGTCCAAGCTCCCCGCACCGGGTCAGTGGTGCGCGTCGTCAACCCGGTCCGGCTCATTCCTGCTCCCCGCACCAAGTCAGGGGTGCGCTTCGTCAGCCCGGTCCGGCCTGTTCCTCCTCCACGCAGCAAGCCAGGGGTGTGCGTCGTCAGTCCAGCACAACCCGTGCCTGGGTCATGTCCGGAGCCGGATCCGCCGCCGAGGCGGAGTGCCCACCCGGTCCCTCCCCTGTTGTGGTTGTTTGGCACGGCCGGAGTCCGCGCCTTTGGGGGGGGGTACTGTCACGCCCTGGCTCTGGGGACTATGTTATGTTGAGCCAGGGTGTGTAAGTCTATGTTTAATTTTCTATGTTGGTCTGAGTGACTCCCAATCAGAGGCAACGAGTGTCAGCTGGGTGTCTCTGATTGGGAGCCATATTTAACTGTTTGTCTTGCACTTTGTGTTTTGTGGTTTCTTGTTCCTTTTGGTTGTGTATCGAAGGACTTCACGTTTCGTTATTTGTTTTGATCGTGTGATCTAGAAAATAAATATCTATATGTTCACCCGCAACGCTGCGCCTTGGTCTCCCTCACTAGACGATCGTGACACCTACACCATCAAAAGGCTTGAAAATCAGGAAATAACGTTTTTTATGTTAAAAAAATTACATTATGTATATAGCTAGCCTACTATATATTGATGTGCCATTTGATATGTACATAAATATTAATATGAATAAATTACATTATGTACACGTTCATCCATATTACTTCAACACAAATAACTAAATATAATTCTAGGTCAGCCTAGACTTGACCTAGACAAGAAGTGATGTGATGTAAGTTAGGTGGTTTATCTGTTCATAAACACTGTGTTAAATAGACACACACTGGGTGAATGCACAGTGATCCAAGCCTTCAGTCCTTAACATTCAAACTGCCTTGAGCTGGGTATATTTCATTATGCTTGTCTGCAGGTAAGCTCTATTGTTTTAGAGGTTTTACACTGAGTAATTCTTTCTTTAATCCTCAGTGAGTCCCAAACGAAATAACAAAAATTGGCTGAGCCTTTAATGCTACAAAACATCCCGCAGTGCTCTCTGATTGAATAACAACCTGACAAGGAAACTTCAGGATGCAGGTTTATGTGTGAGATGTTGCTGTTAAGCCTTGCCTGGTGAGGCTTAAAGAATCTGTATTGGGTTCTAGATGTTTGAGGTTTATTTGCTAATTTACATTCTACCCTCAGCTCTCCCTGACAGCATCCCACTGGAACCATTTTATCCAACTCTTAAATTGAGGAGGAGGAGAGTATTTCAGAGAGAGTTAGAGAAAGAGAGAGAGCTAGAAAGATAATGTGTGTGTATGAAATGAATACACTACAGATGAGGAGCCACCAATCTGAACATGCTGCTAGAAATATATGCAACTCCTTTTTAGTACATAAAAAATGTTAGTGAGTTTATGGTCCCTTTTTTTTTTTTTTTTTTTTTTACATGTCCTCAATGAGATCCTCCCTCCCCTTCACCCTGATCGTGCCTAAATCCTGGGCAACAGCAGCAGAAGGGACAGACATAAGGGGAGCAACCAGAAAGAGGCGGGACCTGGACGATGGGTGTGTGCTTTTAGAGACTCCTGGTTAATCTCTTCCTGGTTGGGTGGGCTCAGGGCATCAGCGGTGGCAGCTGGTTGGTTACGACTGGAGCACATGTCATACAGGTTACCAGAAAACTGCATCTTTTTGGACTCCTGTCGCAGAGACTCCCAGACTGCAGCAGCCTCATCAGGACAGCCCGCCATCGCCACGTTTGCACAGTTATGAAACTCATCCCAGGACCTGTAGGGGATGGAAGAAAGATGGTCACATAGCTCTTGAGTTCTAGAATAACTTTTATTACATTTTAGTCATTTAGCAGACGCTCTTATCCAGAGCGACTTACAGTTAGTGAGTGCATACATTGTTTTTTTGTTTTGTTCATACTGGCCCCCCATGGGAATCGAACCCACAACCCTGGCGTTGCAAGCGCCATGCTCTACCAACTGAGCTACACAGGGCCCATTTTATATGTCCATATCTTTCTAACAACCAGGTATAACAATGTAGTTCAAGACACTATTCATTATTAATCTGTGTGATACATTAAAGGATCCCCCATGAAACCATGGTTGTAGTTACAGTGGGGGAAAAATAATTTAGTCAGCCACCAATTGTTCAAGTTCTCCCACTTAAAAAGATGAGAGAGGCCTGTAATTTTCATCATAGGTACACGTCAACTATGACAGAAAAATTAGGGGAAAAAATCCAGAATATCACATTGTAGGATTTTTTATGAATTTATTTGCAAATATGGTGGAAAATAAGTATTTGGTCAATAACAAAAGTTTCTCAATACTTTGTTATATACCCTTTGTTGGCAATGACACAGGTCAAACGTTTTCACAGTCTTCACTAGGTTTTCACACACTGTTGCTGGTATTTTGGCCCATTCCTCCATGCAGATCTCCTCTAGAGCAGTGATGTTTTGGGGCTGTCGCTGGGCAACACAGACTTTCAACTCCCTCCAAAGATTTTCTATGGGGTTGAGATCTGGAGACTGGCTAGGCCACTCCAGGACCTTGAAATGCTTCTTACGAAGCCACTCCTTCGTTGCCCGGGCGGTGTGTTTGGGATCATTGTCATGCTGAAAGACCCAGCCACGTTTAATCTTCAATGCCCTTGCTGATGGAAGGAGGTTTTCACTCAAAATCTCACGATACATGGCCCCATTCATTCTTTCCTTTACACGGATCAGTCGTCCTGGTCCCTTTGCAGAAAAACAGCCCCAAAGCATGATGTTTCCACCCCCATGCTTCACAGTAGGTATGGTGTTCTTTGGATGCAACTCAGCATTCTTTGTCCTCCAAACACGACGAGTTGCGTTTTTACCAAAAAGTTCTATTTTGGTTTCATCTGACCATATGACATTCTCCCAATCCTCTTCTGGATCATCCAAATGCACTCTAGCAAACTTCAGACGGGCTGGACATGTACTGGCTTAAGCAGGGGGACACATCTTGCACTGCAGGATTTGAGTCCCTGGCGGCGTAGTGTGTTACTGATGGTAGGCTTTGTTACTTTGGTCCCAGCTCTCTGCAGGTCATTCACTAGGTCCCCCCGTGTGGTTCTGGGATTTTTGCTCACCGTTCATGTGATCATTTTGACCCCACGGGGTGAGATCTTGCGTGGAGCCCCAGATCGAGGGAGATTATCAGTGGTCTTGTATGTCTTCCATTTCCTAATAATTGCTCCCACAGTTGATTTCTTCAAACCAAGCTGCTTACCTATTGCAGATTCAGTCTTCCCAGCCTGGTGCAGGTCTACAATTTTGTTTCTTGTGTCCTTTGACAGCTCTTTGGTCTTGGCCATAGTGGAGTTTGGAGTGTGACTGTTTGAGGTTGTGGACAGGTGTATTTTATACTGATAACAAGTTCAAACAGGTGCCATTAATACAGGTAACGAGTGGAGGACAGAGGAGCCTCTTAAAGAAGAAGTTACAGGACTGTGAGAGCCAGAAATCTTGCTTGTTTGTAGGTGACCAAATACTTATTTTCCACCATAATTTGCAAATAAATTCATTAAAAATCCTACAATGTGATTTTCTGGAATTTTTTTCTCATTTTGTCTGTCATAGTTGACGTGTACCTATGATGAAAATTACAGGCCTCTCTCATCTTTTTAAGTGGGAGAACTTGCACAATTGGTGGCTGACTAAATACTTATTTCCCCCACTATATGTGGTTTGCTATGGGAAGGGCTGTGTGTAAATCTATAAGGAGGAGATAAGGCAGAAGCAGATTGGTCGAACACAACATCTGCCCATAAAACGAAACATCATAGATTCACATTCCCTGGGTACAAGTGCAGAAAGGCTAAACTTGCACTGTATTTGGATATGGGCCCTTAGTCTAAACTCAACCCTAAAACAGCACATCTGCTGAGGGCTTAGGGGCATCTGTTTACCGTACACACAGGAGACCTTGAGGGGAATGGGTGAAACAAAGTGGAAGCAAAATGCAGCCTTGTAAAGTCCCAGAATCACATGTGCGGTAGAAAACAGCAGAGTAACAGCTTGTTAGATAAATCTGCCCCGCAGTCTCTTCTCTGATTAAAATAATAAAGGATTGCTGAGGTGTTAGATTGAACACTTGATCTAAAACATACACTGCATGCTAATGCATAAATGAACACACATAAAGATACACATAAACCAAGCTTGAGGGAAACAATAACGTTACCCATTCTACTAATGGCAGATTTCACCTTCATTTCTATTCTATACTCACAGGAAGCTCTCCTATCATTCCATAGAGAATACTGTCAGTGGTGCAGCCTTGGCCTAGATGCAAATCTGAGAATTTTATCCAGGAGGGAAAATACTGCCTTTCTACTGGTCCCTGATAGATTCCTGGGAAGTGTGTGAATGTGTGCGTGCACATGCAAGTGCACGTTTGTGTGTGTGGGTGTGTTCGTGTCAATGTGAAGTTGAAGTCGGAAGTTTACATACACCTTAGCCAAAAACATTTAAACTCAGTTTTTCAGAATTCCTGACATTTAATCCCAATAAAATTCCCTGTCTTAGGTCAGTTAGGATCACCACTTTATTTTAAAAAAGTGAAATGTCAGAATAATAGCAGAGATCATTTTTTATTTCAGCTTTTATTTCTTTCATCACATTCCCAGTGGGTCAGAAGTTTACATGCACTCAAATAGTATTTGGTAGCATTGCCTTTAAATTGTTTAACTTGGGTCAAACGTTTCGGGTAGCCTTCCACAAGCTTCCCACAATATGTTGGGTGAATTTTGGCCCATTCCTCCAGACAGAGCTGGTGTAACTGAGTCAGGTTTGTAGGCCTCCTTGCTTGCACACACTTTTTCAGTTCTGCCCACAAATGTTCTATAGGATTGAGGTCAGGGCTTTGTGATGGCCACTCCAATACCTTGACTTTGTTGTCCTTAAGCCATTTTGCCACAACTTTGGAAGTATACTTGGGGTCATTGTCCATTTGGAAGACCCATTTGCGACCAAGCTTTAACTTCCTGACTGATGTCTTGAGATGTTGCTTCAATATATCCACATAATTTTCCTTCCTCATGATGCCATCTATTTTGTGAAGTGCACCAGTCCCTTTTGCAGCAAAGCACCCACACAGCATGATGCTGCCACCCCTGTGCTTCACCGTTGGGATGGTGTTCTTCAGCTTGCAAGCTACCCCCTTTTTTCTACAAACATAACGATGGTCATTATGGCCAAACAGTTCTATTTTTGTTTCATCAGACCAGAGGACATTTCTCCAAAAAGTACGATCTTTGTCCCCATGTGCAGTTGCAAACCGTAGTCTGGCTTTTTTATGGCGGTTTTGGAGCAGTGGCTTCTTCCTTGCTGAGCAGCCTTTCAGGTTACGTCGATATAGGACTTGTTTTACTGTGTATATAGGTACTTTTGTATCTGTTTCCTCCAGCATCTTCACAAGGTCCTTTGCTGGTGTTCTGGGATTGATTTGCACTTTTCTCACCAAAGTACGTTCATCTCTAGGAGACAGAACGCGTCTCCTTCCTGAGCGGGATGACGGCTGCAGGGTCCCATGGTGTTTATACTTGCGTACTATTGTTTGTAAAGATGAACGTGGTACCATCAGGCGTTTGGAAATTGCTCCCAAGGATGAACCAGACATGTGGAGGTCTACAATTTGTTTTCTGAGGTCTTGGCTGATTTATTTAGATTTTCCCATGATGTCAAGCAAAGAGGCACTGAGTTTGAAGGTAGGCCTTGAAATACATCCACAGGTACACCTGCAATTGACTCAAATTATGTCAATTAGCCTATCAGAAGCTTCTACAGCCATTACATCATTTTCTGAAACTTCTGACCCACTGGAATTGTGATACAGTGAATTATAAGTGAAATAATCTGTCTGTCTAAACAACTGTTGGAAAAATTACTTGTGTCATGCACAAAGTAGAACCGACTTGCCAAAACTAAAGTTTGTTAACAAGAAATTTGTGGAGTGGTTGAAAAATAAGTTTTAATGTCTCCAACCTAAGTGTATGTAACTTTCCGACTTCAACTGTAACTGCCAAAATAAAGGAAACACCAACATAAAATGTCATAATAGGGCGTTGGGCCACCATGAGCCAGAACAGCTTCAATGCACCTTGGCATAGACTTAAAAGTGTCTGGAACTCTATTGGAGGGATGGAACACCATTCTACCATGAGATTTTCCATAATTAGGTGTTTTGCTGAAGGTGGTGGAAAACGCTCTCAGGCGCCATTCCAGAATCTCGTCCAGGATGGAGAGGCAGAGGTGTCTGCGCCAGGGATGTTGTCTATACTGCGGCCAGGCAGGTCACCACTGCGACTCATGCCCGGAGAAGCCGGGAAACGGGAGGGCTTGCTAGTATCGGGAGGGGTGTTAGCGAGCCGGAACCGAAACCCCAACTCCAGAGACTCCCAGACTTTTCTCCCTGTCAGGGTTCAGTGGGCCTGCGCTGCACGTCGGGCGCATACACTGGTGTATTCTGGGGCCGCGGGAAATCTGATGGACACAGTGCTGGCCCAAGGGTGGAGCGTTCCGTTACTTTCCCTCTCTGAGCCGGTTCCGGTCATGGGACTGGACGGCTGGCCGTTGGGGTTGGGCTTCATCACCCGGCGCACTATACCCGTGTGTGTCCGGCTGGTGGGGGGGGGCTATGGGAGGATATCCAGTTTTCATTGTGGACTCTCCGGAGTGCCCCCTCGTCCTCGGGCACCCGTGGCTGGTCGCCCACAAACCCCGGATAGACTGGTCCACGGGGCGGCTCATCATGGAGGGAGGCTACGCATCCTTCCTATTCCGATCTCCACCGACCACTCATCAGCCCAAACCACCATCCCAGACCACCTACCAGCCCTCACCTCTTCCCCAGGTCCCGCTCTCCCTACCGCCCTAGCGGCGATGGCCACTGGGAGGAAGTCGGCTACAGACTACGTCACCGGCCCAGACCTGGCAGGCGTTCGCCGGGAGTATTGGGATCTGGGGGAGGTGTTTAGTAAGAGGCGTGCCAAGGGCCTACCTCCTGACAGGCCATACAACTGCACTATCAATCTCCTGCCATGCGCCATGCCCACACGAGGGCGACTGTTTTTCTTGTCCCTCTACCTCACCCGCGGGCTTCTTCTTCGTGGGGAAAAAGGACGGTGGGCAGCGGCCGTGCATTGATTACCGGGCGCTCGATGACATCACGGTTAAGAACCGTTACCAGCTCCCCCTGATGACGACGGCATTCGAGTCGTTGCAGGGAGCCCGGGTCTTCACCAAGCTGGACTTATGCAATGCCTACAACCTGGTGAGGATTCGGGAGGGTGACGAGTGGAAGATGGCTTTTAACACACCCAGTGGGCATTACGAGTACCAAGTCATGCCGTTCGGTCCAGCCAACGCGCCTGCAGTGTTCCAGGCGTTGGTCAATGATGTGCTCCGGGACCTCCTCGACTACAGCATCTTCGTGTATTTGGATGACATCCTAATATTCTCAAAGGACATTAGTGAAAACCAGAAGCACGTTCGGCAGGTCCTCCAACGCCTTCTCCGTCACCAGCTCTACGTCAAGGCGGAGAAGTGCCGTGTTCCATACAGAGACAGTCTCCTTCCTGGGGTTCATCGTCACCCAGGGGGACCTACGGATGGACCCAGCCAAGGTCAGCGCGGTACTGCATTGGCCCCAGTCCTCATCCCTCAAGGAACTACAGCGGCAAAGTTCAGTACAGTTTGCACATTTTTCTAGACGATTCATTCGCAATTTTAGCTCCCTAGCCGCTCCCCTGACAGCCCTCACCCAGACGAGCGTGCTCTCCTTCGCCTGGACCCCGGAAGCGGGGAACGCATTTGATGCGCTTAAGCGCGCTTTACATCGGCCCCGGTCCTAGGGCATCCTGATCCGTCCCTGCCGTTCATTGTGGAGGTGGATGCTTCAGACATTGCTGTGGGACTCACCCCTTTGCGTTTTTTTCCCATCGGCTGTCCCCGGTGAAGCGGAATTACGATGTGGGGAACCGTGAGTTGCTAGCGGTCAAGCTCGCCCTGGGGGAGAGGAGGCATTGGCTAGAGGGGGCCGTCCATCCATTCATCGTATGGACGGACCATAAGAACTTAGCCTACATCCAGGGGGCAAAGAGGCTCAACTCGCACCAGGCCAGGTGGGCGTTGTTTTTCACCAGGTTCCGGTTCACCATCTCATACCGTCCGGGGTTGAAGAACACCAAGCCTGACGCGCTCTCCCGGCAGTTCGACCCCGTGGACCTGGTGGATAGGGACAACCCCATTGTCGCCAACGCCCTGATTGCTGCCCCAGTTTCGCCCTGTTACAGGAGGGGGTCGCAGTTCTGGAGCGACCCACTAGGTGTCATCCTCCGACAACCTTAGGCACCTCCTCACTCACAGTCTGGACTAATCATTATCTCATTGGTGTCTCCTGTGTCTACCTGTTCACCTGTGTATTTATGCCCTCACTTCCCTGTGTTCCCTTGCTCAGTTTTCTCTGCTAGTTTCTCTATGTCCAGCAGTACTACACAGTGTCTGATTGGAGACCTATGAACAGGTACTTGAGAAGTGTTCTCCCTGTTTCGTTATTTGTTTCAGTCTTAGGTAGTATTTCGTATTTTGGCTGTCAGCCGGTTTTTGTAGACTTATTTGCTCCGCCTTTCTTTTATCGTGAGAAGTCCGTTATATTGTATTCTGGCTTCGGGACTACCAGTAAAGATCCTTGTTTCACCATCTCTGCCTACTGCCTACTGTATATCCTGCACCGCACCTGGGTCACACCTCACACCAACCCTTACACATGGCCCCCTCCGTCCATAACTTAATAAGTCAATTTAACACACGTACCGTATGTTGTAAGAATTTCAATATCACAACAGAATTTCTGTTATAATCAGTTTTAAGAGGAAAACATTTTCCTAGAGCGACAAAAAGTTACCTTTTCAAATCCTCCTACATAGTCACATGCAGGTAAGACGTTTTGATTTCTATATAGTCTCAGAAAGGGCAGGTTTGGAGGTTTCCAAAACCCTATTAATTGCCAAATAACTCTCAAAATTATTTGAAAATATACAATTTTCTTAGATTTATCACTGTTCCATGCGCTCCACAGGTGAGCATGTGGCAACAGATAGCCTACAGTAACATAAACTAAAGAAAATGCTATTGTGTTCTTTTAAATAACACTTTTTCCATATTCTGATGTTACCCAAGACCTTCATAAACACAACCAAATGATTATTTTTCCGATAGCATATATGAAATGTTATAGACTGAATGTTTGAGTCAAAATGACTGCTCATTTTCTCAAAGGGGGGTGCGTCGAGGCCCGGGTTTTCTAGTGTTAAGGAATATGACCAAAATAACAACATCATTGTAACGACCACTATATCCCTGTAGATTCCAAGGGTGTCTCCAGCCCCGCAATACTGAACAGCAACTGGCTTAAGGATGTCGATAGGACCTTCCTACATTGATGTGTAACAGTATTGCTTCCATCCCTCTCCTTGCCCCAACCTGGGCTCGAACCAGGGATCCTCAGAACACATCAACAACTGTCTCCCACAAAGCATTGTTACCTATCGCTCCACAAAAGCCGTGACTGCTCCCTGACAACTACTTCAAGGTCTAAGAGCGAGTGACATCACCAATTGAAATGCAACTAGCACGCACCGCAAACTAGCTAGCCAATTCACACCGGTTACAGATGCAACAACATGTCTGGGAATGGGTTGATATTGATGGGGTGATGCAAGGAGAGGCGTCTTCCATGACGATGACATCACTGCTCAATAAATTCCTAGACATTTCCAGAAGGGAAGGTATAATATTAAGATGGATTACAGACACATGTATAAATAGAATGGAAGGCGGAGATGGGTAAAGAGAGACCCGCAATCTTTAATTAGGCACTCCACTATGCCTCCAGCAAATGGGAAGAGCTGTCAGGATGTTAGAGAGAGGTGGGGCATTACCACAAAGAGAGCGATAGAGATGGACAAAGATCTGGAGGGAATGAAATAGAGGAAAATATATGGTGGAGTCTATCTTTCAATGGTGATGGAATTATGGGTCACAGTGTTCCGTCAATTTACACATTTCAGAGTGGGAGTGTGTGTGTTTATAAACAACATAAAGATGAGAGGATTGCGTGTGTGTGCGTGCGTGTGCATGTGTGTGCGCGTGTGTCTGCGTGTGCACAGATGCGTGTGTACAGATGACTGTGCTTACTTGCAGATGGTGTGTATCTCCTGTGTATCCTCATCCTTCTGGGCACTCTCAGTCAGGCTGTCCCCCAGAGCCATCAGACACTGAGCGAAGCCCTTATAGATGGAGTGACACCTCCTGGTGGAGGCAGCAGAGCTGGGACAGGGGCCGACGACTGGAAGGAGACACAGAGACCGAGACATACAGTATACCATCAGCACTCTCTGTATCCCTGGCTAACAGTGGGGAGAAATGAGCATCATGAGAGTTCAACACTGCCAAGCACAGGACTTTTTCGTGTTTTTTAAGAACTTGTTTGGTTACTTAAACAAGCTGCAACAAAGTTCTCTGTATTATACAAGGCTTGACAAACCTTGGATCCTCAATCGCTGGATCTTCTATATTTAACTCTCCTGACATTAAAAGAGACCTGGTTATGTTGCTTTGTGAGTACCCCAGTCCTTGAAATCAGCATGGTTTTATACACTCCAAACGAATGGAATTTGAGTGCCTCGCTCTGGACAACCAACCTTCAGGGCGCACACTCCAGAAAGTCCATGTATGAAAAATACATTTGGAAAGATAATTGTAGATGTTTTAGCTGAAGCATGTCAGAGGGGTACAGGCTGTAGTGTGAGTGACCCAGATATAACTTAATTTCATGATCATTTAGGCTACATATTAATCATTTTAATTTGAAGCAATTAGTGCCTGCACGCCGTGTGAATATATATGAAAGAAAAAGTGAGTCATGAAAGAAAAAGTGAGTCATGAACCCACAAGATGAAACTGCTCCCTTAGAGACCTCTATCTCTTTATCCCCTATCTCTTCCCATACTTCTTCCTTACCTGGTAAAACAGCCATTTGAAGGCGACCCCTCAACGAGCGTAACGGTGGGACTAAGTGAGGTAAAACTGAGGATGGTAATTGGGTCAGACAGCAGATTGTTACAGGAGGGGGTTGCAGTTCCTGAGCGACACACTAGGTGTCATCCTCCGACAACCTTAGGCACCTACTCACTCACAGTCGGGACTAATCATCATCCTATTGGTGTCACCTGTGTCTATCGGTTCACCTGTGTATTTTTGCCCTCACTTCCCTGTGTTCCCTTGCTCAGTTTTCTCTGCTAGTTTCTCAATGTCCAGCAGTACTACGCAGTGTCTGATCAGAGACCTATGAACAGGTACTTGAGAAGGTCCTTGTTTCACCATCTCTGCCTACTGCCTACTGTATATCCTGCACCGCACCTGGGTCACACCTCACTCCAACCCTTACAGAAAACTGAGCCAATATGGACCCAGTGGAGGCAGCACAGTATCGGAGCGCATTGGCAACACAGGGAGCTATGCTGAACCAACACGACCGCAGCCTGCAGCAGATCACCGAGAATCTCCGCCAACTGATGATCGCTGTGCAGAGCCGGGTGGACACCCGACCAGCCGGCGGAGCGGAAGCCGCGGCAGCGGCATCTCCAGTCTCGCCTGCGACATCGCGGGAACCCCGCCTACCACCTCCGGAGAGGTATGACGGACGTCCAGAGGGCTGCAGGGAATTCCTCACCCAGTGTTCCCTGGTATTCAGCCTACAACCCTCCTCCTTCCCGACGGAGCAGGGCCGGTTGGCCTACATCATCACTCTGTTGACGGGTCGGTCCCTTCCCTGGGCTACCGTGGAGTGGGAGAGCCAAACTCCGGCATGCTCCGACTCCTACCAATTCACCCGGGAGCTACACAAGGTGTTCGACACCTCTCAGGTGGTGTGTGGGCACGAAGCCGGCTCACGGCCTGTCGGCAGGGTGACCGTTCAGTGGCGGACTACTCCGTGGAGTTCCGGACCCGGGCTCGAGAGGAAGGATGGGAGGAGGCCACCCTGGTCGTCCTTTACGCCCAGGGGCTATCGGTGGGGATGAAGGACGAACTCTGGATGGCCTCGTTCAATTCTCGTTGTGGGTAGACAATCGGCGTCGTGAGAGGGCGCATGAGAGAGGGATGACACAAGGCGTGCCTCCGCGTCCCCCTATCAACCCGGAGGCTTTCCGCCAATTCAGGGAGGAGACGCCTCAGGAGGAGGCTATGCAGCTGGGGGCGGCGCGCTTGTCCAGGATGGAGAGGCAGAGGCGTCTGCGCCAGGGACGTTGCCTGTACTGCGGCCAGGCAGGTCACCACTACGACTCATGCCCGGAGAAGCCGGGAAACGGGAGGGCTCGCTAGTTCCGGGAGGGGTACTAGCGAGCCGGAACCGAAACCCCAACTCCAGAGACTCCCAGACTTTTCTCCCCGTCAGGGTTCAGTGGGCCCGCGCTGCGCTTCGGGCACATGCACTGGTGGATTCTGGGGATGCGGGAAACCTGATGGACGCGGAGCTGGCCCAAGGGTGGAGCGTTCCGTTACTCTCCCTCTCCGAGCCGGTTCCGGTCATGGATCTGGACGGCCGGACGTTGGGGTCGGGCTTCATCACCCGGCGCACTGTCCCCGTGCGAGTCCGGGTGGTGGGGGGGCTATGGGAGGATATCCAGTTTTTCATTGTGGACTCTCCGGAGTGTCCCCTCGTCCTCAGGCACCCCTGGCTGGTCGCCCACAAACCCCGGATAGACTGGTCCACGGGGTGGCCTCCTCCTCACAGTTCTTACGACTGCGCTATTGATCTCCTGCCGGGCGCCATGCCCACACGAGGGTTATTGTTTTCCTTGTCCCGGCCGGAGACGCTGGCCATGAGGGAGTATATCGACGAGGCAATCGTCGAGGGTCACATCTGTCCCTCTACCTCACCCGCGGGCGCGGACTTCTTCTTCGTGGGGAAAAAGGACGGTAGGCAGCAGCCGTGCCTTGATTACCGGGCGCACAACAACATCACGGTTAAGAACTGCTACCCACTCCCCCTGATGACGACGGCATTCGAGTCGTTGCAGGGAGCCCGGGTCTTCACCAAGCTGGACTTATGTAATGCCTACAACCTGGTGAGGATTCAGGAGGGGGACGAGTGGAAGACTGCTTTTAACACACCCAGTGGGCATTACGACTACCAAGTCATGCCGTTCGGTCTAGCCAACGCGCCTGCGGTGTTCCAGGCGTTGGTCAATGACGTGCTCCGGGACCTCCTCGACTACAGCGTCTTCGTGTATTTGGATGACATCCTAATATTTTCAAAGGACATGAGTGAACACCAGCAGCACGTTCGGCAGGTCCTCCAACGCCTTCTCCGTCACCAGCTCTACATCAAGGCGGAGAAGTGTGTGTTCCACACAGAGACAGTCTCCTTCCTGGGGTTCATAGTCACCCAGGGGGACCTATGGATGGACCCAGCTAAGGTCAGCGCGGTACTGGTTTGGCCCCAGCCCTCATCCCTCAAGCAAATACAATGGTTTTTAGGGTTTGCACATTTTTATAGGCGATTTATTTGCAATTTTAGCTCCCTAGCCGCTCCCCTGACGAGCATTTGATGCGCTTAAGCGGCGCTTTACATCGGCCCCGGTCCTCGGGCATCCTGATCCGTCCCTTCCGTTCATTGTCTCCCGAGTGGCGCAGTGGTCTAAGGCCACTAGAGATCCTGGTTCGAATCCAGGCTCTGTCGTAGCCGGCCGTGACCGGGAGACCCATGGGGTGGCGCACACTTGGCCCAGTGTCGTCCAGGGTAGGGGAGAGAATGGCCAGCAGGGATGTAGCTCAGTTGGTAGAGCATGGCGATTGCAACGCCAGGGTTGTGGGTTCAAATCACACATAATAATGTAAGCACTCACTAACTGTAAGTCGCTCTGGATAAGAGTGTCTGCTAAATATGTAAAATGTAAATTGTGGAGGTGGAACCTTCAGACGTTGCGGTGGGAGCAATCCTGTCCCAATGGTTCCTCACGGACGGTAAGACTCACCCCTGCGCATTTTACTACCGTCGGCTGTCCCCGGCAGAGCGGAATTATGACGTGGGGAACCGTGAGCTGCTAGTGGTCAAGCTCGCCCTGGGGGAGTGGAGGCATTGGCTAGAGGGGGCCGCCCATCCATTCATCGTATGGACTGACCACAAGAACTTAGCCTACATTCAGGGGGCCAAGAGGCTCAACTCGCACCAGGCCAGGTGGGCGTTGTACTTCACCAGGTTCCGGTTCACCATCTCATACCGTCCGGGGTCGAAGAACACCAAGCCTGACGCGCTCTCCCGGCAGTTCGACCTCGTTGATCTGGTGGAGAGGGACGACCCCATTGTCCCCAACGCCCTGATTGCTGCCCCAGTTTCGTGGGGAATTGATAGGCTCGTCAGAGCAGTGCTACGGTGGGAGCCCGATCCAGGCGGAGGTCCATCAGGGAGGATGTACGTACCCAAGGCTGTGCGCTCGCGACTGCTTCAGTGGGTGCACGCGTCCGACCTCACCAGCCATCCGGGGGGCGCCAGGACGTTGGAGTTCCTCCGTAGGAGGTTCTGTTGGCCATCTGCTGAGGTGGATACGCGCGCCTTTATGACTGCTTGCCCGGTGTGCACGCACACGAATAGCTCATGCCAGCCCGCGACAGGGCTGCTCCGACCCCTGCCTATCCCCAAGCACCCCTGGTCCCACATCTCGCTAGATTTCATTTCCGCCCTACCCCCTCTGATTGATTCACAGTCATCCTGGTCGTTGTGGACCAGTTCTCGAAGGCTGCCCACTTCATTCCCCTTCCCAAACTCCCGTTGGCCCGGGAGACGGCTAAGGTAGTGGTGCAACACGTTTTCCGGGTCCATGGCCTTCCCCAAGATGTGGTGTCGGATCGGGGCCCTCAGTTCGCCTCCAGGTTCTGGAAGGCGTTCGCCACCTGCCTCGGCGCCTCCGTCAGCTTGTCTTCCGGCTTCCATCCCCAGTCGAACGGGCAAACGGAGTGCATCAACCAGGATCTGTAGGGGGAGCTGAGGTGCTATGCCTCCAGCAAACCCAGCTATGTGGAGTCAGCGACTGGTGTTGGTGAAGTACGCCCACAACACCCTTCTCTGCTCGTCCACCGGCCTGTCCCCCTACCAGTGCCAATACGGGTACCAACCACCCCTATTCCCCGAGCAAGAGCAGGAGGCGGCGGTCCCGTCGTCCAGGCCCACATCATTTGCTGTCGCCACACCTGGAGGTAGGTAAGGGCGGCGCTTAAGCGGGCCTCGGTCAGGTCTCAACATCAGGCCAACCGCAGGTGTCGCCATGCCCCGGTTTTTCGTGTGTCCCTCCTCAAGCCTGTCGCCACGTGTCCCCTGGCTCCCCCTCCTCGTCCTGTTCCCCC